CTGTATTGCTAGACAATCCTATTATGCCCACACATGCATGTATATACTGTACAGTTCTACATTATTTTCCATTTGTTAACATACAAAAGCATGCACATACTTGTGCACATATATGCACATATAGCCTTCCATTTTTGGTTAATTGTTTTACATTTCTGCAATTGGCCTCCCAAATTGGATTTAAATTTCCTTAGAAAATGAAGACAGATCTCCTTTTGAGATGTATAGGCAACTGACTTTTTATTTATCATTTTTTAGCTGGGAAATCTTCAGTGACAACAATCAGCCAATCCTTTTGAATCAGAAATAAGGGTCTGGTGAATTTGCCAAGATCGGGTTATTTTAACTTTTAAAATACACGATACATACCCATGGTTGAAAATGTTAGAATATAATAGAAAACCACAGGAAAACAAATAATGAAACCACCTGTACACCTACCAAGATAATCAAGTGATTTGAGAGATTCCATCACCCACTTCTTATGCAGTCCATAGGAGAACACCTTCCACACAGACAACAAGGAGTTGACACTCATCCTCGCCTACACAAGTTCAGAACCTCAAACCTCACTGCGAGTTGCAGTCATTACTAAAGCTGAGTGCTGGCTAAAACTGTTGAGGCCTCTTCCATAGGCTCTCCTCTATGTCCATTGTAGGAAATGACCTCCGGACAACTGCATTCCCACATGCCAGTGTTCTAAGGAATCCTAAGCAGCTGCATTCAGAAGGACCAGACGAATGAAAGAAAGATGTCCATTCACTCATATCATGAAGGCATTAAAGCAGGTGTTAAAATGAAACACAGACAAGGTGGCTCACAGTGACCCAGAAAGGCCTGGGTGCTATTTAATTGAACTCCATACCACCCGTCTTTACACAGCACTGTGCCCTGAAAGCGCTCCTTTATTCTCTACCAAACAATGCACAAAGGCAACTGGGGAAGGAAGTAATGTTGCAATATTCTAAAACATAAATCTTACTACCAGTTTGTTCACAGACAGCATCCTGTTTTCCTTACACATGGATCAAGCACTGGAGGCTGTCCCTATGGGCTCTTTGCCCTGTTCTCCAAAGTGGCTTCTGGGTGATACGTAGTCACCTTCACTTATACATCCAAGTATGAGTTTTGGATGCACAAGTAAATTTGTGTCTAGTGAATGACTTAGCTAACAATATGTTAGCAGTGCTTTTGCCGCATTTAGAGTTTATTTTAATACCTTGTGAGATTGAATTGCTTATTTTATGTGTATAAATAATGTATGTTTGGATAGGGTGTTTGTGTAGTGTGTGTGTGTGTGTGTGTGTGTGTGTGTGTGCATGTGCGCGTGTGCATGAGACACATGCGTGCACACACAAGTGCCCAAGCATGCTAATATGGAGGCTAGAAGTTGACATCAGGTGTTGTCTTTAATCGATTTCAATCTTAATTTTGACACAAGATCTCTCGCCAAACCTGGAGCTGACCAGTTGAATAGACTGACTACCCAGGAGGCTCCTGGGAACCTCTGCCTACCAAGCAGTGTTTCAGGCATGCACTACCATGCTTGTCTTCTGACAGGGATGCTTTGGATCCAAATTTCGGTTCCCATGCTTGTACAGCAAGCACTTTATCCATTGAGCCATCTTCCCAGCCTTTCAACTCCATTCTCTCATTCTCGTTCCTTATTTTATGTTTGTAATGTTGAGTAAAGACTAAACTTGAGATTTTCACATATGCTAGAGGGTGAAGGAAGTGAATACTCCACACTCTGGACACTCAACAAACACCACATGATGGTTCAGCTGTACCATCATACCAGCCTAAACCTCTCTCCCTGTTCTGATTATGATTCAGAACCCTATGGCCAGATTCCAGCAATGTCATCAATGTGCAACTTGAGTCAGGGAAAAATGTTTAACTCCTCAATAGCTTATTTTATCCTGGGAGGCAGAGGTACATAATAATGCTTATAATTGACAGATCAGCACAGGCAAAGCTGTGACTGTTTGGCTTGCTCAAGGCTACGGCCTTCTCAAATGTGATGAGGTAGGACTTTGAGGATCAGGAGAAGGGGAAGGAACACAGGAGGAAAGTCCATGGGAGTGGACGGCCCTGGGAAACAGCTCTTGTGAAAAGCTACTTTGGCAGAGGGCACACAAGGCTATGGCCAGGCAAAGAAGACTCTGTCCCTAAATATGGAATGACTCAATTTTAGAATTTCACTGCTGCTCACTTTTGTTTCTCATCCTGGGAGAGATGTGTGTGAGTTTAACACTAGAGGGCAAAAAGTCAGGGAGTCAGCACTCTCTGCAAGGGCTCATGACGCTGCTGCTGTCGCCGGTGACAATGTTGCCACATATGACCTTACCCTTTGCCTGGACAAAGAAGAAGGGATCCTGTGACATCAAAGAGGACTGATATGAGCCTCTGTCAAAACAGTCACTCTAGTCCTCTGTTGTTGAGAATAGCTGAGGACATGTGAGTCGTCAGGCCCAGGTATCTCTACAATTTTATAAGGAACCTCACTCTTCACTGCATTACTTTCACCTCAGCAATCTGACCAAACAAACCACTCCATAAAGGGAAACTTCAGTGCTTAATAATAACAACAACAACAACAACCAACCAGGGCTTCTCAAGCTCAGCACCAGTCATTCGTAGTCAACAGTTCTTTTCTGCAGTGGGCTGCTATGTACATTGTAAGGTACTTATGTCATTCCTTGTCTCTACCTACAAAGTACCAGTGCTATCACCTTGTAACCTACTCTTAGCAATCAAACATACCTCCAGACACTGTCAAATGTCCCCTGGGAGTACAAAATTGCCTTTGGTTGAGAATCATTGTCTTAAAATGACCTAATGAGAGATTAAATTAAATGAACCATGCGTTTTAGAGCATTGCAAACAATTCTATCAGTGTGGGAAGTTATATAGGGAAACAAAAAGAGTGGCATAGCATAGATTAAGCATCTATATATAGATAACTGACTGGCTGCCGAGCCAATGCTCCTGAAGCTATAAATGAGAAGTACTCCATGCATTCCACAACATGAAATATGGGGACTTAAGATCATGGGGAAAGTACTAAAACCGGCCTCCCTGGGAGGTAATGATTACCATATAACCTCCCCCTAATTTCCAGTTATCCCAACACCGTCATCTGCAAAATGTGTTGCATTCACCCAATATGGAGTAGCCATAGCTGATCATTAGATAGGAGGTCTGTAGAGATGGACATGTTCTGAAAGAACTGTTTATTTAATGCTGCATGACTTAGAATGGGCATGTAACCTGACAAGTGTACTGGATGAGGAATGTCCAATTTACCAGTTCTAACCAGTCAAGTCCTCACATGAACTTTCTAAAACCCAGCAGAGAAGCCTGGGAAAGTATAACCAACCACAAACCTTTGTTTGTTGCTCATTTCTCAGCCCTAACTCACCCCCGCCCCGCAACCTGAAGCATGCTCTTAAGACCCATGTAGTGTCCCAGGCATGTTACAGAATCTTACGTATCCATAGAATTGACGGGCATGTCAGCTCACCAACTACCCAGGGCCTCCTCCACACAGGCCAACAAAAGAGGAGACATTCCATTCTATTTTTAAATATATCGAGCAGAGAAGCAGCTTGATGCATCTCTGTAAAGGATGGCTGTCACCTAAGAAGTACGGTCTCCCTATTTTTATCAATGATATAGACATCGAAGTCAGATAAATTTAGAAATTCAATGTTCGATCTTTATTTGTCAACTGTGTGGTTTTGGTGAAATCACTTAACTTTCTTTAAAACTCGGTGTCTGCATGTGTAAAGTGAATATATATATATATATATATATATATATATATATATATATATACATATATATATATATGTGTGTGTGTGTGTGTGTGTGTGTGTGTGTGTGTATGGAATAATATATGAAAATAAAAGGGATGTGTGTAACAATATACAGAAAGCAGAAGTGTTCCTCAATGGTAGACCTCATTGTTACTAATTATTTCTCTTCAACGTTGCAACTTTTATCATGCACTCATTATACAATCATTTATTTATTCAGTATCACCTACGAACCCAGTGTTAGAAAAACTAATTCTTATAAAAATTGCTCTCTCGAAGGATGGAGATTATAATGAAGTAAGTGGGAAGATCGTCAGTAACGTGCCAACTGGTGGCTAACAGAAGAATTTTTTTTGGGCAGCCTGGCACAGAGGGGCTTAGAAACCCTCAGATGACGGTGCTACTGATGCTGATTTTGATGCTGAAAATTAGCTGATTTGGCAATTTGCACCCAATTCACTTGTCACAGTACTCTCTGAATGCTTATCACTATAAGAAATGATTTATTTTCAAGTAAATGACTCCTGATCTTGTGAGAGTGAACCTCGTTTCTCTGAGTAACACTTTAATAGGAGTAGATTAACATTCTTTATTATAGGGTAGACTCATAATAGGCGTCTAGAGTCTGGGAGGTAATTCTCACTACTGAAAGGAAAATGAATTTTGACTAATTTATAAGTACATACTAGATTTTTTTTGAGTTTAGAAATTTTCCATCATGTGAGAAAATTAGGGGTCTGAAACAATAATATAATAGCAATAATAAAAACCGTTCACTGACAAGGTAAAACAAATGGCTACTGAAATTAACCCCTTAGTGACCAGAAATGCTTTCTTCTGTATCAATTCATATCAGGCATCATTTGTTCCTCTGTCCCTTTCTGTGGGAACAGAGAGGAGTAAGCAGCTTTACATATTTTTCTTCCTTGTCCCTAAAGCTTTTACAACCCCTTGCCTTTCAACACAGTTTAATACACTCCGTGGTCCTTAGCACTTTAATTCTAAAAAACACCGTTTTCCAAATATCGTTTTTCCATAACAGAAACCCTCTAACTGTGATGACACGTTTCCATTGGCAACAATGTAAGAGCCCTTAGATGCTGAGGCCCAGTACTACATTGGTGTGGCCCAGGCCATAGTCAGAGAGAAAAAGTTCATTTCTCCAGAGGAGATGCTTACCTCAAATATGTTTGCAGGCTCATTGTTGTACTGGTTGGATATGATTTCTGATTGGTCACTACACCACTTCAGTCCACCCAGAAAGCTGTCTGTGTCCAAGTCATTCACATCAAGTTCAGAAAGGTCAAGTTCAGGAAGATCTGGGCAAAGAGGCTGGTCCTCACCAACCAGAGCAGCACACTGCAAAGAAGATACAGCAGTTATTAATGGCAGGAATTCACTAAACAGCACTGGCATGTGATGGGAATTAAGTCTGGTTAATTCAATGACAGCACCAAAGCTGGCATCCAGCACTTTAATCACCAGGGGAAACTCTTCCATTCTTTTTCCCCTTGGCTCCCAAGGGGGTATTTTGTTTAATTTCTTCCATCCAAATTCTAAACCCAGATCCAAGCTAAGTACCATGTTTCCATGAAGGCCTCCTGGGTTCTTCCAAGTAGAAACTAACAGGAATTTTTCCTACCTCCAGGATGGTTACACTTGATGAGTTTTAACCCTCTTATAGTTAACTATGCATAGGATTTTATTCTGTTCTTACCGTAGGACCTGCTTGAGAGAAGTTTGCAAATGGATTTATACCTTGGAATCACCATCAAATATAATAGATACCCCTATGAACAACTGCTCACTGAGATAAGAGAACCCAAGGATTAGACTAGGAAAACTTCCTCCATGCCCACTCCCTTTAAGTATTATAATCTGCATCACTCATTTAGCAACTAATGATGCAAGTCCTCCAGCTCATCTCCAGCTCTCTTGAATTGTTATTTAAATCCTTTACTTTCACTTGACTTTTTATGAGTTCCCTGACTTCATCCTTAACAGGTCAAATGCAAGTTCCTTGAGTTAAAGAACAAAATTCGTATCTTTTTTCTATGTGACCCTTATAGCTTTCACTAGAAATATTTTTGCATGTGTGTGTGTGTGTATGTGTGTGTGTGTGTGTGTGTGTATGCATGTGTGTTGGGTGGGGGTGACCTGTCACCTAAAAAGAGAGAAAGAAAACAGAAGTTTTGTACCATAATTATATTTTGTATTTTATTGCTTGTCAAAACCACAGTTATGGTGAATTTAAAAGTGGTATTTATATAGATACAAAATAGTTTCAATATATTAAAAGGTTTAGATATTTAATAGGAAAACTATTTTAGATCATTTTATAAACATGTGTGTGTGTATGTGTGTATACATATGTATACATACTTACATACGTACATACATACATACATACATACATACATACATATGCCTCTTTCTAGCATTTAGATAGTCTTTCCAACCCCCTGACCTGTTGCCTTCTGAGGCTATCAGAACCCCTTACCAATGAGATGGTCTCCTAGATACTTAGCTATTGAGCCAAATCCCTGTGCTCTGAAGAAACCTACAGAAGCTCCCACTATGGGGGTATGACGACAGTAGAATCGCCAGGACTTCATCCTCTCACCAGCCAGCTGCCTGAATCAAGGTGCTCCAACAGAGAGAAACAAGGCCCTCCTGCCTCTGCTTCCCAAGGTCCGCAGAGAAGGGATTTAGTGGTTCCTGTGCAGACAGCAGTGAGACAGGAAGTTGATAAACCTCCTTGACATTTAGATTTTGAGTAAAATAAGTTTTATGCAGATTTTAATTCTGGTGCAACCCCTGTCATCCCTGGCAGGCTGTATTACACTGGTCACATGCAGCAGTGTGATCTGAAGCCACACGCTGAGGAGTAGGCACAGGGTAAGGAGGGGGGAAAAAGAATCTGCATATCATTGCACTTTGTCTGGAAGACCACCAGGCCCGAGAGGATCCCCAAAGGCAGGTACACGGCCATGCCAAGAAAGAGCTGCCTTCTTTCTCATCCTATTGGGCTTTTCTTTGTAACATCTGAGTCAGCCCAAAATTACAGATCAGAAAACCTGGCTAGGTTTGTAAGTGGGAGGCTAGCTAAAAAAGAGTAGATCTTGTCTGGATACAGTTAGTGTTTTGTTGTGGGTGTAACAATTCCAAGGCTCCGGTCTTATCCACACTGCACATCCCCAGAGCACAACCCCTTTCTATTAACTCTTCCCCAACACTGTCAGCTCAGAGATGAGGGGAGAACTTTGTCAACAGTGCCAAATAACACCCAGGATGTCATGGGTGGAGGATTCCTTTAAAAAATCATGAAGGACCACAACCAAAACAAGCATCCAGAGGAAAACTAAATCAGAGAACAAGCCCAGTATACTTTCTGGTGCTACTCTGTTTTAGAGCTCAGAAGTCATGGTTGGGAATGGGGAATTGTCACACTGACTTCCTGGGAGACATTTTCTTGCAATTTCTCTTTAGCCACTCTCTCTAAGGGAGACTAGTTTAAAGACCCTTTAACCTTCAAGAAAAAAATATGTATTTGAATATAACTTCTGACATCTATTAAACACCTAAGATTAATTTGTTTTAGTATTCTCTATTTTGCTTTCCCTCAGTCCCCTACCTATTGCCCCCATCTCTCTCTCTCTCTCTCTCTCTCTCTCTCTCTCTCTCTCTCTCTCTGTGTATGTTCATGCTTACTCTTACACTATTGGCTTAAAATAGTGTGTGCTTCCCAGTGTTGACATCCTAAGCAAACCAATGCTTCTGAATATGAATGATCCTACCTATCTAAAACACATTCATAGAAGCAATTTCTCCTGTTATTAATCCATATTTGGACTTGGACAGTGCCAGACTTAGCATGCTGAGTAACTGTTCTTGTCTGCCATGCTGATATTGATGGCTCCCCTATACATCTGTTACAGGTGTGTCTTTTACACACACAGTATCTCAATCACACAGATACTCTACAGCCACTTTGCAACCGTGAAAGCAATTTCACAACTGTAGTCTTAGTTTTTACAGTAAGATTTAAGAGGCGATCGCAGTCTCTAAACACAAAAGGCTAATTATTGTACGTTAGTTCACCCCAACAGACAGTCTTTTCCTTTAGTTAAGGAGCAGACAATAAATTAGCTTAACTGCATGGATGATAATGATTCTTTATAATTAAGTATAATTCTCCATTAACCTTTCAGAGGTTTTGGTGCCATTGGTGGTAAATTTTAAAGAGAGGAGAGAGTGAGTGGACTCGGTGGCATTAATTATATTATTAAAAAAATCTTAACTTCTGATAAAAACATCAGTTGAGTCTGGAGGAGGAATGGAGACGGTGCAGTGAAGAATGACAGCCTTCCTGAAGTGTGTCATGTGAACTGTCTCTATCAATCTTAGTAACCTTATTGGACATCACCTCCATTAAGCTGTGAAACACCAGGAGACTGAGTAGCTCTGGTGGTTTGGGCTTTTATTAACCAATACACTGTCCTGTCATTATGTGCGAAAGGGCATAATAGGTTTCAAGATGACAGCAAACATTAATGATTCAAAAAATGAAAGCTGCCCACACTACCTGCTGCTTGTAATATTTTCACAGGCAGGGAAGATTCCCAGAGCCACAGCCTCGAAGGCACGGGTTTCTAGCAGCTGGCTGTCTACTGTGCAGCACTAACTGGCCAGTCACAGCTGACCCAAGACTCAATCTAAGGCTGGACACGGAGCCCTTATACCCAACTCCTTAAGAAAAATAAAGAAAGAACAAACTTAAAGCCCTGGCTATAAATGGCTGCGACGTTTATTTGCAAACAACTGCAGGAATTTTGACTACTAAAGCAAATCTCCCTCATCTCCTTTAGATCATAACACTTCAATCTCTGAGGAGCCAAGAGGTAAAAATGAAAGTGATTCGAAGAGACCTATGGTGCCAGCCAGACAACCACCCACGGGTTACGCTGGCTACTCCAACAATTAGGACTTTGAAGCCACTTAGAACTCTGACTTCCAATAGCCACAGGACACATGAATTATCCATATCTATTCTGCCTTGCCAAGAAATCACAACAAGATAACAATAATTATAACCCGCAAATCCAAGCTGCCAAAGCCTGGGGAATGCAAACGGAGCCAACGTCTGCAGACCCAGCAAAGAGTTAAGGACCCAGGGCACGCCTGGCTAGATAGGAAAAATGCATTCGCAGGCGGCCTCGCCAAATCATTTTCACTTTAGATGTGTATCACTGCACCACACGGACATCTTATTTAATCAAATCACGTGTGGCATTTGACCCTCCCCCTTACCCTACGTGCCCCCGCTACCGGGAGGAAGCACCATTGTTAGTTAGCAGCTCCGATCCTCCGCGCAATTCAATTCGGGTCCATCTCACCAGAGTCCACAAAAGTTTCACTTGTTTTCCAACTTGCCCAAACTTTCCCGAGAACATTCCATTGTACTGAATGCAAACACGCTGAAGTCCCCTGGCCCCAGCTAGACTCCAGAGATTACGAGGAAACTGCTTGTGTTTTTTTTTTCCTCCCCTGTATGAATTGTAGCCAGCAGAGACTGTGGAATTGATGTATTGCGGTCTATTTTTACACAAGCACCGAGCAGCTCCACACACGGTCTGCATAAACTCCATTCTCTCTGAGCTTCAGGCAGCTCTCCGTGGTAGAGAGATTTAACCGTTCGGTTTCTCGCCACAGAAGCAAACAGAAAACCTTGCTCTTTTAAGCTGGGATTTTTTTTTTTTTTAAACTCGCTAGCCAACCCTTTCAGCCACACACAAGTGTTTTAAAGGAAACAGCACTGTCGTTTTGTGTTCTGTGGGAAAAGCAATCAAACTCAGCCCCAGCAGGATTATTTAGGATCTTGTAAATTCTCTGTTTAATGAACAGAGAGAGGAGGGCGGAAAAATAAAAATCCTGACGAGAATCAAAACGAACACAATCCATTTTAATGTTTATCTTCATTTTCTTATAAATAGAAATGGCATTTTTCCAAGCAGGCCACTGAACACTGGAAAGACTTCAGCTCCTGATTCATATCAATATCTTAGAGCATAAATATTGCATATGAGTAGAAACACAGCCAAAGGCACATGGAAAGAGTTTCTAACTGCTACAGATACTGATGACAGCAGCTAAGCTTTGATTTGCTCAAGGCATCTCCGAGCCACCTTAAAATAGCAAACTTATTGGAGTTAAGATAAGACTGAGATTTCCCCCTCCGAAAGCTCCGGCTGAGCTACTTTCTATGTCCCCTCCTTTCCCCTAGCCCATCCCCCCTCCCCCTCCAGGAATCATTGCATCTGAGGGAAGCTCCGGTCCTGCAATGCCCAGCCCGAGCTCACCTCTATGTCACTCCATACAGAGTCTTGGCTGCACATGTCCCAAGCCATCCAGCTCCTGAATGACGCCAGTCAAGCTTTTTCAACTCCACTCCACTCTGACACACAGCACACACTCATGCAGGCAACCAGCCCCTTACTGAGAGTGAACTGAAGGCACCTGTCTTACTACAGTCCCCAGTCACATGACAAAGCTATTAAAAAGTAGGCTGGGCTGTCACTCACCCAGCCTCCCTTCTCCTGTGCAGCTTGCTGCTCAAACTCCTGACGTCACTCCGAGGCAGCCCTCTGCCTCAGTGAAGTAACGCTTAGAGAGAGAGGGAAAAAAAATAGAAGAAAGGAAACACATGGCCTTTGAGAGGCTTCAAGCATCACACTGTGACTAAAGCCAGCTTTGAATGCCACCGTCTCTAAACCGGAGCCCTGGTCATATAATAACTCTAATCTCCTGCAATCTTTTTTTTTATATTTATTTTTTATCCAAAACAGGCAAAGAATTAAGATCCTTCGTTACTGACACAGTAAATACACCCTTGCCTAAAATGTGTGTGCTTGAAGGATTGGTTTCCGAGTGGACCCAGACTCAGCTTGGAACTGAAGCAAAAGCACCTCATGTGACACATTTTCATGAGATTCTTTTTTTCCCCTCCCTATTAGGGGAGTGTTTGAAAGCAAGGAATCTCTCTCTCTCTCTCTCTCTCTCTCTCCCTCCCTCCCTCCCTCCCCCCCCCCCTCCCTCCCTCTCTCTCTCCTTCTTTCCTTCCTTCCTTCCTTTTTTTATTCTTGTTTGATCAACAAAACAACCTCATTTGTTTAGGTCTAAACAAACTCCTGTACCCCAAATCAGCTGTCTCCTTGGCAGTAAGGAATTCGGTTTCCAAAACTGTTACTGCAGTTTGCTTTGCTCCCTGTAAGGCGAGCAAACCACAATACCCTAGACTCTTGGGTTCCCTTCATGACTCTTTCCAAGGCTCTCATAGGCTCCCAGAAAACAAATGTTAGTAAATACAATTGTGGCTGCCATCCCTAAAGCAGTTTAGCTACTCAACTGCCCCTCTGCCCCCCTCCTTTTTCTTTTCTTATATGTAGCATTTTCTTCCTCGTGGCCTCGAGGTGCCTTTTTGAATAAACATTGGATTCCAACACTAGTGCCCTGGGTTGTACAGTTTGTTTTTGAAATCAAGAATGTCCAGGGAATGAAGGAAAAACACTGAAATGGTGTCAGCAGAGATACTCATTTCTTGAGCTTTGCTTACTAATATTTTTCTGTCGTACCTGAGTCAATGAAGGGTAATGTAAGTGCAACTGTTTTTCCTGTGACATTACATACTGAATACATAACCAACCCTCAGCACTTTCTATAACACTTGGGTGCTCAGACTTAACCCTTCCAGGCACAGTAAGAAATACACAGGGGAGCTTTGAAAACATATTTTCATAACACCTCAAACCCTAAAGACTCAAAAAACAGCTCATTTCCTTTACTTGACAGTAATTTAGAAAGAAGAAGAAAAAAAGTCCGTATGCATCTAAATATAATTTATAAAGCACCATTCATTTAAACTCCTATCCCACTGAGGTTAATTTAATGTGTTCTTTATTGTCTATCCCCTCAGAAGGAAAACATTGATGACTTCTCTCAGTTTATATAGTCAGTTACTCAAACAGTAAAGTGAAAGAAAGAAATACAACACAAACAAGAGCCTACCAGCCTCCTGCTTACTTCAGACCTGTAGAAGGGGTCTGTTTGCTCGGATGTACACAACTAGTAGCCAGTGAAGAAGGTAATGAAATCCACAGTTTGTCAATCAGTGAACAGAACAAGATGGCCAGCAGCTTTGACATTCTAAATTACATGAGTATACGTCACTGCTACAATTGTCCTCTTCAAGACAGCAGAAAGTCATTGTGCATTTGATTTTCTAATTCAAAAAAAAAAAAAAGAGCCAGAAAAGACAACCCTGGGATCACTTTCTACATGCAATTACTAGCCTTACTCTGCACTCCCACAAAGAAACACTAATTTTCTTCCCAATTAGATTTTTACTTAATGTAAAACTTCAGTAAACTATTAAAATTCAGGACAAAGGTCATGGGCTCTACCCTCCACACAGTCAACTGTGAAATAATGCTGGTCACTTAGCTACAAGGAGTCGATGTTTATTAATTATTATCATACTGCCATCCTGTTGGTAACTGATACTTTGGTTTCTCTTTGTCATCTGTTAGGCATCCACCATACATTTTAAAAATCCCATTCATACCTTTTTTTTTTTTTTTGCACCAGATCACTCTGCATTATTGTTTTGCTATTTTAACTTGCTCACACTGAGTGGTGGCAGGGTTTTTATTTATTTTATTTTCTTCTCTTTTTTTTGCCACCTAATTCTATTTTGAAAAAATAACTAAACCAGCACATCCATGATGCTAACAATCTGCTTGAAACATGTCCTCTACCTTTATAAGGAGGTTTTATGGGGATAGAGAGAGCACGGGGCTGATAAATACAGACACACTGCCCTCTTCCCCTTGTGTTTTTGCTGCTATAGAAGTCCATTTCTAACCAATTTGTTGATCAAGTCAGAATACCCTCTACTTGTTTCTCGGGTCTCAAAATTACAACTCTAATGAGAAGGATATTTTAGAAGTCTTATCATTTGGTTAATTAACTCTTCAAATTAAAAGTCTTCTTCTGTCCAGCTTTTTTCTGTCCTCAAGAGAATTTAAATTGTTAGTTGCTCACCAACCTTGGGTTTTTCTGGCTCCCCAGGCAGTTTCTATATTTAATTCTCTGTCTTGAGTACTGTTGCTCTCTTTCTCTGTGTAGCCTGCCTCTCATTTCTTCCACAACTTTGCATTGAAGATTCCCAAATGTTTGCTTTCAATAAACTAATGTCTATGGAAGCTATATAGTGTAATCAGCTGCACATTGCAAGGACTGACAGAAAGTGCATACAACATGAACACAAAGGAGTTTACCATTTGGGGAAGGGGGACACTAAACCCTAAGGAAGGATAATCATTTTCTGTAAAACATAAAGTCTCAACCTTTTTCAAAAATCCCTTTTATTCTGTAAAACAAGCCATATTCAGGGACAAAGTTCTCATGCCAAAAATCCCAAGACAAATCCAAATCAACCCATGTTTTCTCAAAACAATGGATAAAGGTATTTATTAACACGTGGTGGCTGCCTGTAGTGCTGTGTATCTACACTGGGTAGATTCCAGGCCCTAGAATCCCTCCTTTCAGTAGTTCTGTTCACATTTGTTTTCCAAGATCCCATCATTGCTGGAGGCAGGAAAACCTATCCTTTAAGTTGATAATGTGAAGAGGTAGAGCAGGTGGAGATAGGGATCCAATGGGATGGGGAAAGAGATTTCAACATTGTATTAAACATATTTGATTTATTTAATACAATGCGTGTGTTTCCTTCCCCATTCATGTCCCATTGTATAGTCTTGTATGTGTGTGTTCTTCATACTCTATAACAGCATATTTCTAAAATATGAAAACAATCACACAAACCAAAACATTCAAAGCCAAATACTATGAACAATAGCAAGACCATGAATTTCAATGTTAACTTGTCCTATGAACAAAGAAACAAAGCTCAGAAGAATCACATCATGATTTTCTTTCCCCACTTGCCCTTATAAGCTTGAAATAATGTATACAAGAGTGAAGTGGAGGCCAAATCTTTAAAGAAAGTAGACAGGGGAAACCATGAGCAGCCAGAGGCAAGAAGATCAGCATACCCTAGAGGACACACTAATCAATGTTGTCCTCAGAATGCTCACTCAAAAGAAGTTATATGCCCACTTTACAGCTGAGAAAAATACAGCACTCAGAATGGACAGACATATCTTGAAAAGCTCTTCTTAGAAGAACTACAGTATTTACCCCCAAATCAAAGGTCTTATAAAAACTCATGAGGCAACCCCTGGAAAGACATATGTACAAAAGGGAACCAACATTTCCAGGACTTCAACCTTCCTAGAGCATTCTAATAGAATGAACAGGGGCCTGTCCATAATCACTAACATTTGTAGAGTTAATCATTGCTAAGAGGCATAAACTGCTTTTAATTCCTAAAGGGCCCTTGATCATGACACCCCACACCACTTTCTGAACACATACTTTGGGACTCTAGTTAGAAGCTCAGACTGTACAAGGCTCCAGGATTGAAAGCAGGCTCACATGTAACAGAGGTCTCTACTCTGAGTTCCCAAACTCAGGCTTATTTTTATAACTAAGTTGATGGTGTTATCCAAGAAAGCAAAAGATTTTTCAGTGAAACAAGTGAAGTAAAGTGGGTAGACAACTTTAAATGCCTGTTAGCATTTGTGTATTTTTTTCTTTTCTTTCTTTCTTTTTTTAATAAGCAAGATTTGATCAACATGTTGAGCAACACAGCTCTCATCCTCAGTAAAATCTTCTACAAAGCCCCATGGAATACAACCAGTCTCAGTTAGACCTCAAAATGTGCTTTTCACTTTGTTTTTAATATAACAACCAAAAATATCATGAAAATTAATCTGAGCTGTAGTTTAGTACTGGACTAATCTAAGAAGAAAGCAATAATTGTGCTTACTAGGAACACGAATAAGAGATAATAAAATGTTGATTAAAATCTGATATTGTCTGATGTTTAAATTGGACATATTTGTGAAGCTACAGATATTTTCATTTATCTTAATTTTTTCAGGTTAATTCATCTATACTGTTCAGAGTGATTACTTAGATAAGAAATGTTTAATAGCGTTTTTTACCAGTATTATTTTCTGAAATAAAAAATAAGACTTATTGCATATTTTTAAATGTAGAATGTATTAATAAGTTAAAGTGTTACTGTGCCCTTAAGTATGGTATTTAATTTAGTAAGAACAATGTTTTTATCTTATTCCCTGTGTTTGGTGAGGACTGGGGAAAATATGAATATATATTGTTTAAATAAAAAACAGGAAAAGAAATCAAACTGTGCTCCTACTTGTTAGTTCTGGAGTAAAGTCTTATACTTACCAGCTTAACCATTTGTTTTTATGGGAGAAGA